GTGATCAACCGAATCGAACGCCTTGCTGAAATCAAGTAGTAGAAGGATGGTAACACAACGTTTGTCGTATGCATACCTAATATCATCTGTAATCTTGATAAGCGCTGTGTCGTGCTATGACCTTTACAAAAACCCGATTGAAACTCGTTGTGCAAATTAAAATCTTGTAAATACTCTTGAACTTGTAAGTAAACAAGACGCTTGAGAGCTTTGGATAGAACAGATAAAATGGAAATAGGGCGAAAATCATTTAAACTTGAGGGACTCTTGGATTTAGGTATAGCGACAACATGAGCAACCTTCCAGATTGAAGGGAATGAGGATCGTTCAAAGGAAAAGTTAAAAATGTGAATAATAGGAGTAAGAACAATATCCAATATAGGAAGAAGAAGTTTGAGACCAACTCCATCAGCTCCCACACTAGTAGACCTTGAATAATTTAAGGCATCGCGGACTTCTGATGCTGTGACCAGGACAAAGGAGAAAGAGGAGGATTTAGATGAGGCAAGAATTTCAGTAATAGTAGTCATCCTAGTCTCACCACTAATGAGCAGAGGAGGGTTAACAAAAAACCTTGCCAATCCCCATCGTAAGCAGCCCGTACAGAGGAAGACTCAACCGCCCCAAAAGAACGCATAATCCTCCAAAACGTAGCATTGGATGGTCTCCGGGAGAAATAAAATTTTTTGGCATTCCTACATTGGTGATTGCAACTGTTACGCAAGATCTTATAGTTTTCACGATTAATGGTAGTTGGAATACGTTTAAATAATAGCTAGGTATTATTATAGAATAAGTAAAAAACAGTAGAAAGAAAGAAAACAATAAGTATATTGGATCGTTTTAGATTAATATATTTTTTTAAATAACATTTTAGGAAGAGATTTTATTAAATTTTCCAAATTCATCCCATATTTCAACACCTAATTCAATGCAGGACTCATATTTATTTATTAGATATTTTGACGCAAACACTTCTCTATGAATAATACATTGAGTCCACAACGCATTTGATGATTTGCTTCGAAGAAGAGTCTGTTATCCTGAATAGTAGCCAGACAATGCGAGCTCAACCAGCTGTAAAGTTGAATCTTCTTTGATCCTTTTTTTAGGTTAAGTCATTGTCGTCGAGTGACCGAGAATGCTTTTGGGTTCATAAGCCCCAAAGAAATTACAGCATTTTACACACCCTCGTTGTCTTCTTCGAGACGGTTATTCGAACGACATGACTTACCATTTTAATCTTACAATAACGAAGATATTTCCGAAAGAAATATTACAAACTAACGGATTTCAAATCAGGGACAAACTTAAAAATTGAGTAGCTTACAATCAAAAGTGACCAAATCCACAATTTGTCATTTTCGGTTTTATGTTATTTTGCAACGCTAGATGGATCTCTGCATGTGTCAAAACAGACCATAGGAAGTTGAAGGCACTACCTCAGTAGTGATCTAACCATTTCAAAAATGTGGAGAATATACAAAAAGCAGGTTCAAGATCCCGTCCTTAGTGTTAAGCAATGCTATTTCCGTAAGATTTTTGCAACTTTTTTAATAATGTGTTTGGAACACCACGAACGGACGAATGTGTTCAAAATGTCTTGAATTAGAAGAAAAAATAAAGAAAGAAACCGACAAAACTAAAAAAACTGCATCTTTAACGGAAAAAAGGATCCATAAGCATCGTGCGAAGGCTTTTTTAGCCGATCCACTCGACTGATCAGGAGACATACTACAGCCGGCAGTTTTATTTATATAACTTTTCTATTGTCCAAGGTAGTTCCAAGGATCCTTTCGAAGGGAACACTTTTTTATACACCTGGGGAGAACATGGGTTACCAAAAATCTAATGAAATAGCGTCTTGTACTTATCAGAGACTGCAACATATCGATTTTACAGAAATTTTTCAACTACAATGCGTTGCTGATGGCTGTGGAGGTCAAAACAAAAATTCGATTCTTATGTTAATGATTGGAAAGTGGGTCCTACATGAGGCGACTTCAACTCTTGAAAAAATAGAATGTATTTTTCCTGTTCTGGACATTTATTTATTCCGCCCGATAGAGTGTTTGCAGGGATAGAAAAATTCATCAGAATGAAGGAGGTACTTTCTCAACCAGAGGAATTTTACACAATTTTGCAAAGTTATGGCCAGGTATGTCACTTGGGAAGTGAAGTTCCTGATCTTGATTAGAAAGGTGAAGTTAATGTTATTATGAACCACCAGGGCAGTGGAATTTCAGGTTGGCACCGTCCAAGCGTTTTTATATTAGAAGGAATCAAAAAAGGATAGCATTTTTATTCAAGGAGAATTTTCTTATAAGTCCGAGCTAGAGGGTTACAGTGTAGTGTGTAGAAAAGGAAAATGTGTAAACAAACCAAATCCTAAACAAATTTATACCGGAATAATCCTAAATGCTTCTAAAGTTCACAGTGTTGATAAGCTTTTAAAAAAACATTATGGCGATAATTAGCAGCAGATCAATTCCCTTGAGTTTTACAAGAACATCATTGTTTCCCAAATTGCTTCTAGAAATGAACTGGGCGAGGAAGAGTTTATTGTAGAAGAGAATATTTTTTGTGAAAAGACCCCAGAAGAAACTGAAACAAGAAGTTAGTAGATCCTTTAATGCGTTGTACAATGCATTTCTGTTTTATCCTTTAAGTTAGTGTTCTCTGTTATAATTTTGGTTAAATACTGCTTATTTTGTATAATGGTGTTATTCGACACAAATAAAAAACTTAAATTCAAAATTTTGAGAAAAAATATTTGAAATATTAAATTTTGACTGATACATAATGATGATCTTAAATATTAAGCCGCAACGAAAACAGTTGTAAGATGTTTCAACTCTTATTTTTGCTGCTACAGTTTTTATGCTTTCCTGAAAAAAATCCTGAAAATCACTTTTATTTTTGAAGATGGCCACTTCTGATATTAATGTACTCAATTTTTCTGTAACCTAAATTTAAGTAAACTAAGTTTCTTAGCAAGATTTCGCTGATGGTGATGATGAAGCATAGATGCAGAAAAGCATAAAACGACCACGATTATAAATGTGCTAAAAATAATACGTTGTTTGGCCGTTTCCTATGATTTTTCAAACTTTATCTTCAACCAAATTATCACAATAACTAGCATGACGACGTCAGTATTTTTCCGAAGAAAATTTGCTACGACTTTCCTCCGACCTAACTTAAACGAGTTTGTTGGGGACCATGAAGAAAGAGAAGTCTGATTACAACAATAGTGTACAGCTCACCCTTCTGGGCGGCATTCTATAGCAATTTCGAGAGAGTTGTTTTCAGGATGACTTCTCTCTTGGAGAAAGACACAAGAACAAAAAGACACAATCTTTTAATGTTTGTTTTGTAACTACCTTTTGAAGTACAGGTCTTTTTCCTCATAAGAACACTAATGTTAGCGTTAAACCAGGCTAGGCGGATCACTTATCTGAAAATATTATAAATTTATCATAAACTGGATGTAATTCTGCATTAAGGAAAACAACGTACGAATCATTTCTTGTCAATCGTCCAATTTTACATCATGTTGATGATTTACATTATGAAAAAACTCAAGATGCGATGTCAAAATCGTAAAATCGATTGGGACAGAGGCGAGGTGGTGCTAATATTTGAAGAATGTTGGCTATGTGGTTATTATTCAAGTCAACCTATATATCTCAAATCATTTTTAAATTAAATGAGGGGTTAGGTTACATTTGATGCGTACTGTATATCAATAAAAGTAGAGTACTTTACAGTGCAGAAAAAAAGAATTTTTCTTTGAGGTGGGTCAAAATAGGATTAAAAAGCAACCTTTATTTATATATCAAAAATGTTTGGTTGTTCTTGACAATTTTTTTGACGAAATCGAATGCTATTACATTATTACTAGATATGCTAAATTGTTTTCATAACTTATTCATTCGAAATCGTTTTATAATAGGGTCGCTTATTGATTATGACGTAGTAACAACGGAAGTGCGTGACCGAGTATAATATTTCGCGGTCAACGCACCGTTCTGCGGTAAACTTTATTCAATTTGTTTGCGTTATATGTCGACCGTGAGTAATGGCTTAAAACTAACAGAATATGTTGAATAATCGAAATTTATCGGATCAATTTGGATATTTAGATAAAATCTAAAGCAGATGGATCGTATATTTTATTACTTGAAGTGAATGTGGATGACTACTGCGCATTACTCTTCCAACTACTATTAATATCGATTGACCATAAAAACTGAATTATTACATCATTTAAGGGTGCAATAAGGCGCCTTCCCTCGAATAGCACCACTTTGTACCCCGTACTTTGTCGGTGTCGACAAAGCCCCGGTTGCAGGTCTTATCGTGGGCCATTAACGATACCCAAAGAATTTTAAATGCGATCGGTACCGTATATGGTACATTCGAGTGTCGTGGCACGCAACGTAACCATTAAAGTACGAGGCGTCAAAGATTAAAATCGTCCTAGAAGGGGTCTTCGTCGTCGTATCGGGGGAGGGTTCTATAGTAAATCACACGTCTGGATCTCCGATTTTAGTTCGCTCTTAAATTATAAATAGGGGCGTGCTCAGGATACGGAATAGCCCCGAACGTACGGTTTGCCAGCCTCGTTTCGTCCTCAACTCCGAACGTAAATAATTGCGATTTCGACTTGCGTTTTTAGGTAATTGCCGCGCCGTCGTACATCACTGTTGCGCGAACTCGAACCGGCAAACTCCGGGTAGTTTGCATGACGAATGGCGGCTATTAAAACGCTCAGCTCCTCCGCCAACGGTTTCAACCCAAACCTTTCGTACCACTTCTCTACGACTTTTCAAACCATTTAGATAAACGTTTCCTTTATGTTGTAACTTTGTGATGGTTTTCACTAATTATCCAGCCAACAAAGTTTTACAATATTTAAAACAACCGGTATATTACGAACTCTTTAAATAGAAACTTTAATAAGTATTTCTTAATAAGTAATAAATTATATTACTAACCTGTGCTTTCAGAGCCATGAACATCTGGACACGCCTGGTAGCTTAACAAAAGCCTGCTATCATCTGTACACGTGTCGATGCTAGAGACCGGAGATTTACACTCTCCGTGACCCCTGTTATAGGTGAAGGTGAACGGTCCCTTAAAGGGGCACGGTACAGGATTGGCATTTTCCCGAAACATGGAGTACAGAAGGGCGTCGCCAGTGATGAGACTGCAGAGCGTTGGTAGAGCTTCCCTCCCTTGACAGAATGCTGCAACACAACGACAAACGGACAGATCAAGTTTTGGTGCAAGCGCTGTAGATCTTAATTTATGAAATTAGAAACTTCGAACTACGGTTTAAGTATGACGAACGACCGTCCCGTTTGGGAATTCCGGCAGTTTCGGGTCCCAACCACCACCGCGGACGCCCGCCGCACCCCCCAACGTAATACATCATTTAGTGTACGACGTCTCCGCCCATGTCTTCGCCTTAATGTAGTTCAGTGACTTTTTCTGTCAAAGTTACCCCGTCAGGATTGAATTAAAAGTTTTTGTATTTTTTGAGGGTTGTAATGAATAATCACTTGGGATGTAACGTTTTGACAAGGCTAAGTATTTGTTGAGTTTTTTTACAAAAATATTGGTTCAATAACACGTTAAGAAATATTTACAATAATGAATTAAAAAAAATATATATAGCGATTATAGATACTGAGTTACAATAGTTTATAGACTTTGAATTTATTTACATATACATGAAAAATGATGTTAATGTCACTTACGAAAACGTGAATTAATCTAAGTTTAAATGTATTTATTTTCTACAATTCGATCGTCTTAACGTTTTGATTAATAGAACTACAAATAAAAATTAAACACTTATTTAACGCAGATTCAACACGGTTAATGTGAATAACGTGTTAAAACTTTACGTTACATGAAGTTATGTCTTGACGATAGTGACTACAAAACATAAAAATTGATAAGACATAGTTTAGAAGGTAACATTAACATTTGAGTATGATCTTAGAGCATTTATCATAATTGACGATAAAACTATTGTCTACACAATATTACTATCTCGATCCAAATACCCCTGAAGGTATTTACATTCAATCTTCTACAGATAACAGAAATTTTATGTTGAAAAAGTTCATAATACTGGCGTTAAAACGATGAGTCATAGCGGTTACGTTGATTAACATCATAACTGACTGTTCGGAAAGAAGACGTCGCCTTTCGAATTTTGATAGCCTAGCTATTTGCGTTGTACGCTCCAAACCATAAAAGTAGTCCTTATCGAGTATCACATGCGCCCAACTTTTGCACCAAAACGTAACTATCTTGTCCAAGAATCTCTGACAACAGTACCTAGTTTTCTAGTGTAATATAGTCGTGTGCAAGCACTAAGTAGGTTTCTGCAAGCTAATCTTCCATCAGTTGTATCTAGTGTTCTACAAATATTATCTGGTCTTCCATTAGTTTTACCTAGTTTTCAACACAAAGCACTAGCCTTTTATTAGCAGTGTTTACTCTTCTATTAAGATTTGTACCAGGAGTATCTAATTTTCTTTTCGCAGAATGTAGGTTTTTACGAATAGTAGTAGCAGTATCCAGTCGTTTGCAAGCAGAGTATAGTCGTCTGGTTTCAATCGCAGTATTTAGTCCTATGCGAACAGTATCTATTCTTCTGATAGCAGTATATCATACCAGTAGTATCTAGTTTACTCTTCGATTATTACTATTTAGTGCTCTGCAAACAAAGTCTAGTACTTTGTTAGAATATAATATTTTATTAGCGGTATCTGCTCTTCTGGTAGCAGTATCTACTTATCTATGAGGAGGATCTAGTTTTCCAGAAGCACTATCTAGTCTTGAATCGGCAGCATCTACTCTTCTGCAAGCTGTATATACTTTTTCATTATCAATATCTAGTCTGGTACAGGTTGAACATAGTCTTCCGTTAGCAGTACATTGTCTCCTGTAGGTTGTATTAGCAGTATCTAGTCTTCTGCAAGCTGTATAGCGCCTGCGGGGCTAATGCTTTGATAGTAGCGAGAGGAAGTTAGGAAAACCAATTGTCTTCAACAATAAAATTTTATTTACAATAAAAAAACAATAATAGAAGTATTCGACGCTAACTCTCTAACTTAATCTAACTGATTGTAACTCCAAAACTCCAAACCTTCTCCGGGCCGATCCTGGTTGTTTTATCCTCGGTGGAACATGCAAACGTGATGTTTACGATGTTGAGTCCAGTAATTTCCCGGCGAAAGTTTTCTGGGAATCTTGTGTCTGAACCAAAAGGATTTGCTGCCCAGATGGTTGGAGAAAATGTTTTGTTTCTGTAAAGTTTGTAAAACTTTATTGCTGCCGGTGAAACATTTAAACGTGTTCACATGTCGGCCACACCGCCTTGCATTAGCTGTATCTACTCTTCTGCAAACTGAACATACTCTTCGATTATTACTATCTTGTATTTTTCAAGCAGTATCTAGTACTGTACCAATAGTATCTAATGTTCTGCAAGCTATACATAGTCGTTCACTGGTAGTATATTGTCACCTGTTGATTGTATATAGCTTTCCATTAATAGTATCTACTCATCAGCAAGCTAGTATCTAGTCTTTTATAAGCAGTGTCTAGTCCTTTGATAATATACGATACTCCATTAGCGGTGTCTACAGTCCTAGCAGCAACATCTACTTATCTATAAGGAAGGTCCATAGATGAGAAGTCTTCCAGCAGTAACTAGCCTTCTACTAGCTATGGGTAACTGTACTTTTCGATTATTAGTATGTAGTCTTCTGTGAGTAGTAGCCAGTACTTTGTCAGCCATATCTATACTTCTAGCATTGGTATCTATTGTTTTGATAGCAATATCTATTTATCTAGGAGGAGGATCTAGTCTTCCAATAGCAGTATCCAACCTTCTATAAGGAGAATCTAATGTTTCATTAGCATAACGTTCTGCACGTTTTACGTAGTACTTGGTAAACAATATAGCTATTTACTAACCGTAAGACTTGACGAATATCAATTGCACTCCAGTATTCAGAGTTGCCAACATCTATACTCAAATTACTCGAAAAAGGTGAAAAACTCTATTTTCATCTAGTGTTAAATACCATATTTAACAGCCGAAAAGATTGATTCTTCACTGTATATCACAGAGAGTTAATAATTAATGACAAACTCATTCCGACAAATTTTAGAAAATATTTTTGTGAACAATGATCAAATCATTTCTTAAACTTACTTCTTACCAAATCTTGAGGTTTTTTGACTATAGTGATGTAGAGGCCTTTTAATTCTAATTCGATTGAGGAACTTTTGAAGTGAGTTATACCATAATGGAATGAATTGGTTTTTATCCGTGATATAAATATTAATTAGCAATGTTCATCACCACCACAATTAATCGTTAAATTAATGTTATTCAATTATTTTAATGGTTCCATAAAAAATATTTTTAAGTTCAACACTCCACAAAGAACAAAGAGAACACTCAAACACATGCCCCATGAATTACTCCGCGAATAAAAGAAATGATGCCATAGAAATAGGGGTTATACTAAGTATAGACGGACAAAAAAGCATTAAATTTGAAGTACTTATTATAAGTCATTAAGAAAACATTTAATGACATCTAATACTATTAGAATAGAAAAAAGAGTGTATTATAATATAGCAACAATATTATAATATTTGGAGTTTGAAACTATAATAATACATAAGAGGAAAGCATAAGGGAAGTTGTCGAAAATGATTGCGTCTCGATAGAGATACGTTTGTAATGGTTCCTTACACAGGAAAAAATCGTGTCGTGTAAAAATTTTAGAGTAGTTGGTAAAAAGAATTAGAGTAAAAATTGTAATATCATATGGTAAAAATAACTCTAATGTACACTATATTTAATATTAATATAGAGTTCATATATTATTCACTTAATAGAGTAGTTTTTACAGTTCTCTAAAGGAGAGTTCTTTTTTACTTATGTTAGTGAAGTTATGTAATATATAAAACATTAAATTTTACACTAGACGTGTACTTTTCCTTCGGGTACTTCGTAGGCACCGCACTATTTTGCTCGGGATTACTCGTCGGTACCACGTGATCAACATGTGGTGTGATACAGCTAAAATTTAACGGTCATCTACTAAACGAGTCGGAACTCGATAGCGTCTCGAGACCTGATTTACGCGATATAGAAAGAAAGAACGATTATTTTTATTTTAATTATGTTTGCCAAAATAAAACATTCATGATGTGAAATTAGTGGAACTTCCGGAAGATTTTACATACAAGTTCCTTGTGAAGATTGGTAAAAATGTGCAACTTGGTGCAACTATACAAATAGGAAACTTATAGAAGACTCATTAGATGCAGTTTTAATGGTGACTCGGTGGAAACTTTAAAATGAATTAAGTATTATATATGTTATATGTATATAAATAGAATTTAATTTTTTTAAATTTTAGTTATAACAATATATTACAAGTTGTATATTGTAACAAATAAAAACAAATATTTTATAATTTTGATTTTTATTGCAAACGTAAAACTTCTCTAAAAATACTCCACTTCCTATTAAAAATTAACACTAATAAGTGTAAGATACACACTATTTAATGATATTTTGTCAATTAATAGAGTAAAATTAGAGCGAATTTTTAATAATTTACACTGATTAGATTAGAAATGTATCTAATTAGAGTCACGACAACATCTATATAGTTAGATTACATATAATACACTGTTATAGAGTAACGATTTTACACTATTTAATAAACACCATCTTCTCACTATTTAGTGTAAATTTTTAATCTATTCACCTACACTATATAGTGCAAAAAATAACTCTAAATAAATTGGACCGATCTGAACCATGTTTTAGAGTTGATTTTTACTCTATATTTTTTCCTGTGTAATACTACAATTCTTTCGGTTATCCTTCATCTTTCATACTATAGAGCTTTTTGTTCTAAGTGAGTAATAGATTTTAAAAAATTAATATAAGCGACTCAATTTCTTCATTTATAAGCTAATAATATCCAATCCTATCTAAAATTCGCTCTTGGAGGCAATTTGGGAATATATCAGATTTAAGGTTCATATAAGCCAAAAAAGTAATAAATCGTCTTCTGCTGTAATATTGATTTATAAGAAATTATAAGACATCTTTTATGAAAATAACCACATTGTTTTCTGTGTTAAGGTTTAGGGAATTTATCGGAATAATGCTTTGGAATATCGTATATAGAGAGTG